CGGGACTCCCACGCCTATCCAACAGCTGCCTGTCCTCTGACTGCCCCCCCACGAGCCCCCGACCCACCTGCTCCCTGTCCCTTGACTGCCCTGACCCCTCTCCACACCCCACCCCTGACAGGCCCCCCCCAAACTTCTGACCTATCCAACTCCCCCTACTCCCTGTCCCTTGACTGCCCCCAGGATCCCATGCTCCTTCTCCAACCCCCCTTACTGTGCCGCTCAGACCAGCGTGTCTGGCTCCACGTGGAGTCAGACACGCTGCTACGCTACCCCGCAGAGCGCGCAGCCCCGCCCCCCCCGCCCTCCCCAGAGTGCTGCCGGCGCGGCGTGCTGAGGCTGCAGGGGAGGAGAGGGGGGAGCCGGGGAGGGGCTCTGGCTGCTGGAGGCCCCGACGTGAGTGCTTAATCCAGCTGGGCCGCCCGGTCAGCCGCACCGCGCTCTGCACTGGGAGGGAAATCTTCATAGAATCATAGACTCATAGACTTTAAGGTCAGAAGGGACCATTATGATCATCTAGTCTGACCTCCTGCACAACACAGGCCACAGAATCTCACCCACCCACTCCTGTATCAAACCTGTGTCTGAGCCACTGAAGTCCTCAAATCGTGGTTTAAAGACCTCAAGGTGCAGAGAATCCTCCAGCAAGTGACCCGTGCCCCACGCTGCAGAGCAAGGTGAAAAACCTCCAGGGCCTCTGCCAATCTGCCCTGGAGGAAAATTCCTTCCCGACCCCAAATATGGCGATCAGCTAAACCCTGAGCATGTGGGCAAGACTCACCAGCCAGCACCCAGGAAAGAATTCTCTGTAGTAACTCAGATCCCACCCCATCTAACATCCCACCACAGACCATTGGGCATATTTGCCGCTAATAGTCAAAGACAAATTAATTGCCAAAATTAGGCTCTCCCATCATACCATCCCCTCCATAAACTTATCAAGCTTAGTCTTGAAGCCAGATACCTTTTGAGAGTTTTACAAAGTCCTCCCAGATGGCTATTTAAAACCCAAAAAGCCGGACATGTCTGTGAAAATACGGACATATGGTAGGTAACCCTAGAACGGGGAACAAGTATGCCCAAGGAATAGAAGGCTTTGGCCCAGATTATCCCCTTCAGAAGACTTCCCCAGCCTGGATTAGGGATACTGGTGTGACCTCACCTTGCAGCCCCCAAAGAAAGAATTGGGTGGACTAAATGGACAGTGCCCCTCTCTATCTGAAGCCTAGCAAGGCAGGTATGTGGATCCCACTAGAATTTAAAATGAAAAGTAAGGGAGGGGAGGCTCTGGACCTGGGCAGCTTTAGATACAGTACCAGGCATGTAGGAGGATTTCCACTTCTGAGCCATGGAAGCCGAAATTGACTTTTCCTTTCCAGATATAGCTAATATTCAGAAAGGGAAT